GCCACGTGACAAGCTTCACTGGGTCAGTCTACTGAGGAAGACCAGAGTGACTGGTCGAAAGCTCTAGGTGAGAGAGCCTCTTGTGTTGGACCAAAAGTTTTAACTCTAAACAGATATACATTCTGTTGAAGTTCGTTAACTGTTGTGTTCATATAGATAGTGTACTTTTTTTTGTAGGTACAATGTATATGGATGTAGGTATTATAGACAATAAGAAGTTGAAAGTTTTCTAACATTTTTTTCCCATCTCAAGGAAGAAACACCATCTATGATGGTTTTGCAAAAGCTATGAACAAAAATTATTATCAAAAGAAATACTACGTAATCTATGTATTACTAACAAAGAAGCAAGCTTGCCACCTTGCGTTTTATTAGCCACTACGCAATTAAGCAACAGCCCTGGTATATAAAATAGCATATTATCTCCTTTTAAGGGCATTAAAGTGCTGGGCCAGCTATCAGCCAATCAGGTACTCCCTTACTGTATACTCGGTTAGTCTACCAGCCAATCACGTCGCCTCTTACATCCAAGAGGTGGAAAATGCTGCAGAAGAGAGAATATATATTAGCAAGATATCTACAAAGGCTGCTGTGAAACTGAAGTTATGATGTTAGTAGTATAAAAACCTTGAAGTGACACACTATATATGCGAGGAATATGTGATGCCTTGGGCCTGGCTTTGGCTGTTTGGCGTAGTGGACATTGAATGATCATGACTTGGTAACTAAAAACCATTTTCACCTTTCACGAGTGCAGATAGCTTGGATGCTGCACTCATACTCTTGAATTTATTTTGCTTCCCTTTACAGAAGGAAACAAAGTTTCTTCTTCCTTTTGTTCTTGATCCTCATCTTCTCCAAACAAATAAGGTCAATGACCTGGACCAGACTTCTGTCACCATGGTAACTGGTGCTGTAGCAGACACCCTGTGGTGTTGGGTTACATTATGTAGCAGGACAGAGTTGGAGGGGCTGGTCACCATATATGATATGAAGAGTTTGAGTAAGACTAAACAGAGCAGTACTTTGTTGATCTAGAACATGTGAAGGTAAACATTATGCATTTGCTTTGCAAATGTTACCTTTCTAGTTATATGTCTATTTTTCTTTTACCTCGGAGCATTATTGCTGTTGCCGATGCTTTATTTAGTTGCTTAAAATCAGATCAATGCTAAGCCATGCCACATACATGCCAAAGTATAGAAAGTTGAAAGAGCTTAATACAAAGAATTAGTATTGGAACAGGTAACAAAGTTTAAAATGCTACAACTCAAGAGAACTATAGTTTTGGAAAAGAAAAGTGTGTCATGACTTGTTATAAGCTCGCCTAAAATGCTCTTGCGAGGACAGCAATATTATGGGGACAGCATTTTGCTTGTTGCAAAGCGAATCTTTGAAGTGTGAAAGACAAAAATGTCCAAGATATTTTTGATGAGATTTGAGTGTGGAAAAGAAAACGGGGACCTAATAAAAGTAGAATTATGCCCGTGTAACTTTAAGACTTTAAGGTACATGTATGTTAAAGTGAACTAAAGATGACGAAGCCTTGCCAACTATACTATGTTTTGGACATTCTTAAACTCAAGTGCTATATATGTTTCAGTAAATTTGGTCACGTGTGTATTTACAATTGAAATTTACCATGCAAGAGGACTGAGTTAGTGAGTGAGCATTTACAATTGATGTTGCAAAATATTATGTCCAATCCTTTGCAAGAAAATCCAAAGAAGACAAACCATTTTCCTTAAAAAAAAGCTCTAAAGTCACCTGGCTGTGATATCCTTATGTCCATTAATTGTTGCATGCATAACTCTTGTGGTATAATGCAATACAGCATATTGTATGACAAGATAGCGAGACTAGGTAGCAAGTTGGAAAATAATCATTGCCACAAATACATTGAAAAGATATATGAGTATGTTGATGTTGAAACCGTTATGATGACAATGTTGTTGAGTATATAACTATTGACCATATGTCCAGTAGGTAAGTATACGTATTGAAGGTTTGTTGTTGCTTCATTCTGAACTAGTTAGATTGTTTAGGCCATGTTGATTTGATTATATGGATGACATCCACGCGCGCATGAATTTTCGGCCGTTTCCAAAAAAAAAAGTTTTCAACCATACTGTAAATCGTACAAAACAGTGGCAAAATGAGCAAAAATATACCGAAAGTTACAAAAAAATTAATAAAAAATATACCAATGTCGTAGAATGCCAAAATCAAACGAAAAAAGAGTAAATTGTTAAGAAATAAACTTGAAGACTAGATTATTTGCCAAACCATATTCTGTGCCATTTGTTAAACCTTCAAAACCACGTACATTTCATAATGAAAATAACTTTTTTTTTTGCAAAACTTTTTTTTATTCGCACGCGCGCATCATTTTTGGGGTTCCCGGAGGATGTCATCCATACAATCACATCAACATGGCCTTACAAGAAAGACTGAAATTATTTAGAGGCCATTCCATAAAAACACAAGTTTCTCTTTCAGTTGCTATTAAACTGAGTGATATGTCACCCTTTTTGCTCTAAGAACCAACCCAGTGGACTGCGAGATACGTTGGTGTTTCAGATAGACACTTTTCATTTCTAACTAGACTTGTTTCTTAACTTTAACCTACTCAACACACATAAAGTAGGCAAAGGTGCAATGATATAAGCATTACAGAACTGTACGTATGAAACTACATAATATAAGTTAGACAGCGTCACATTTTTTCTAGTAAGCCTGCCAATAGTTTAGTTAAGCGTTATGCTAGATATCACTACTATTTGACAAGCTACTTCTTTTAAAACAGTGTCAATGAGTGCACTCAAGTTGTTGCTTGAATACAGTTTATTCCATGTTATGCATTTGTCGCCATGCCTTCTGTATTTCATCATTCAAACCTTTTTTTTGAATGGACGGGTAAAATATAAGGCACGAAGCAGCCAGATGCAAAGACGCCCTTCTATTGAGGTAGATGGGTCGATGTAGAAAATGTAGTGTTCTTGCCTTTTCAAGTATACAAACATCTGTCTTTTAACCAGTACCCAAAACATCTAATGTAACCCAAAACATGTGAATGGTTCGTATGAGCATTAAGGTGAAAATTGTAGTAAATAAAAAAAAGCCGTTCAGCTGCAGATGGAAAAAATATACACAAAGCAACCAGACGTTTCAGACGCAAGCAGAGATATCTACACACCTCTCTGTCACGTTTTATCTTGCCCTTGGTAGTCCTGTTTTTACTGCAGTAACTAAAAGTGTAATCAGAGAACCCAAAATGAAGACGGCCCAACGCAATTTGAGAGCAGACAGATGATGAAATTTTCGATTGCAGTAGACAAGAAAAATACAGTATTCAAGACTGGTTTTGTAACTTGCTCGTTTCACATGCTGTGAACGCATGCCATGCTTAAGATATGGTTGTGCTTTTCGTGAATGCCAGGAACTTCAGAGCTGAATTCAATTATTCATTACTAATGCAGATATGTTCAGACTTGTGTGTGTAGTAGGAAATATACATTTTGTATTAGGGGTCTATATAGTTACGCCTTTACGTACTAATCTCTATTTTCACACTCATGTCAGGAAGCTAATTGTAAGGGAACGTGCAGTTACATGTGTACATGTCTTGCCAGTTCTGGCCAGTGGTATACTGTCTTGCCACCGTAGGATCTGCTTGAAGATTAGCTTTTCTTCACCTTGTATCACGGCATTACATACATAGATGCAGTGATCCTTCTGATAGTCTCCTCCGCACTATTTCATAATGCAGAGGTACATGTATGTACACGTGGATTGCTGGTAGATAGATTGTCTTTACTCCTTATGTAAGGGGATGAAACATATTTTATCGTTCGTCCACGCCCAGATGGCTCTGCACGGTTTCATACATGTGAAAAGTGGCAACAGAGAATTTTTTTTGTCCACGTTTTCGACTTCAAGGCTGGCAAACAATGTAGTATGTGGTTACAGTTGTTGAGTTAGTCTGAAGGTTCTAGGTTCGAATTCCCGGCAGGACCCAGCGTTGTGTCCTTGGGAAAGGAACTTGACACATGTTATGTCGCTTTACATATGTGAAAATGAGTGTCTAGCTTCAGTTAGGACGTCCTCTCGGATGGGACGTGAAGCCGGACGTCCCATGTTTGGGGAAAGCCACACTTAGAGCATGTTAAAGAGCCAACCATACATATATCAGAAAGAGAAGGAGGCTTCCCCATTGTTAGTGGTTCAAACCTTACATTCTGATCCCAGTGTTGACATTCCGGTAATCATCTGTTATGTCAATCCTTCCACAAATGTGGCAAACCTTCATAAGAAGCTACTACAACCTTCGCACAACCTCATTACTATCCTTGGTACTTGCTGATCTTCAAGGTGAATGATTCCCCCACGTGGCTTGCACCGTGCTTATTAATCTGTCTGGCCTGCTTGTGGGGTTTCAAGAAAATTGCTAGTGAAAATTAAAGACTGAGATTTGCATATCTACCAGCTGTATTGCTGCGGACGCTTCATTTTGCACAGAGAGCGCGCAGGTATTGCCAATACTGCAGTACTCTGAGTTAGACTGTATAACAGTGTACACAGACTCAAAATATTGACTGAGTTTTCTAGCAGTCTTCAACTAACAGTACGTGGACAGTGTTTCGCCGGGTTTGAAGACTTTCCAGACAGACAAGCATACAGGTTAGTTGCAAGCTTTGTACCTTCTGTTTTTATGTCTCCGTATGACCTTGGCTACTTCTTTATCTGTCTCGTATTTGTACTACTTGTGGTGCCATTTAACGTTGGCAAGATGTCTTTCAATGAAGGTTGGTATTACACACAAAACGTACTGAAAATTAATATCCATCCATCCACTGGTGGATCCCCTGTCCGTCGATCTAATACTTTGAAAATAGTTAACAGAAACAATAGGTTAAAGAGGCATTTTTTTTATATTTTTTATAGGTTTTCCAGATCGCATTTGTTTCTTCTTGAAAATCTAAGCCGTTGGTAACCGTAAGATGAAGACAGCCAAGTTTCGAAAGCGAAGAAAGAGCCAGCTTCCGTTGCTTACCCTCGCCTTGTGTCTGTGGCTGTTCCGCGGCCCGGGAGTTCACTCCTTACCGGTTAGATGCATGCAAACAGTCAAAACGGATTCCCACAGGGTCGTCTGTCGTAGCATGGCGCTGACTGCCTTTCCTGAGGGGATACCTGCGGCAACGACAACCCTGGACCTCCAGGACAACGCCTTCACGAACCTGACCGACATCCCTCAGCTGAGAAGTCTCACTCGTCTCCTTCTACAGCACAACCGCATCGAAACTGTGGACTGGGAATCACTCGGTAATCTGCCGTCTTTGCGCACCCTCTCCCTAAAAACCAACCAGATCACCAACGTCAGGCTAGACCTTGCAGTCCCTCGTTTGCCAAAGCTGATGACAGTAGACTTACAGTGTAACCAGCTTGCCTCTTTTACCAAAAGCCAGCTAGGGCATCCCAGTCAATATCTGACCAACGTGAAGATTCAGGACAATCCCTACGACTGCACTTGTGACATGATGTGGCTCGTCATTGATATGAAATGCCTGCTAAAGGCAGGTTCTTCGGAGTCTGTATACGGCGTTTGCGAGAGGTGTGAGGCCTGTCTTCTGCCTCACATCAATTCGGAGAGGTTCAAATGCGCCAGCCCGCGTCAACTCAAGGGCGTCCTTCTGAAAAACCTGGCTCAACACTTGACCAACTGCGGAAATGCCACTACAACTGCCACTGCCATGGTCAACTCGGCCACTCCAGGCTTGTTGTCAGCACCAGCCAAAACTTCGACGCTCGCAACTGGACAAGATGGTGCTGCTCAAACTGCCAGTATGACCGAACAAGAAGCCACCCAATCCCAAGGACAGACCACTGAACAGTTCCTAGACCAGTTCGTCAACGCAAGTTTTCCTCCAACCCAGCGCTATGATGAAGATTCCTCTCCTCCAACCTCCATTGCAAGCGATCAGCACAATACGACACCGTTTCATAATGATCAGCCCAACAACAGCACACTGGGCGAGGCATCGGCAGAACATCCCTCTACAACAACAACTCCATCTCTCAAAACGAAAGACCATCTCCCTTTCAGCATTATTCCGCAACCTACTACCCTTCAGGCCTCCACTGTCATGGAGAAATCGGCCACTCCAGGCTTGTTCTCAGCCCCAAACAAAACGTCAACAACAACAACAACTTCTTCGTTTCTCAATACGAAAGTCTTTCTCCGTCTCAACACTATTCCGCCAAGTACTACCCTTCAGGCCTCCACCGTCATTGACACCTCGGCCACTTCAGGCTTGTTCTCAGCCCTAGCCAAAACGTCGACGCTCGCAACTGGCCAAGATGGCGCTCAAGCCAGTGAGCTACAGCTCGAAACCCACCACATCCTCATCATGTCCCTCACAGCCGTGTTTGCTGTTGGTTTTGTGTCCGCGGTGATAACCTGGAAGAGCAGATCTAAGTGATCGAACGAGGTTCATTTGAAACGCCACCCGATTCTATCACCTTCCTCGATAACTATCGTACAATGGGGACCACCATCTATCGATACATATCGTGGTAGAGGAGTACTCTTATACTACAGCGTATACCTTCCACGATAGCAAAACAAGTCTAAGAGATGGTGCTACTCTGATGGGTTCACCGTCCAATACGAAACGCAACGGCTGCGGCTGTCTGTGGGTTTTCAAAAGCCGTCATAAGATGACTTTTGAAGCCCGGTGAAAAAGCTACACTGTCTATCTTACAAATATGAACGTTTCTTCAAGATTTACACACTACCGATTTAAGCCACAAGCAGAGAATTGCACCATCAAACATGGGTACCAACACATTCACTATGTGAAAAACAAAACAACTGAATTTAATTCTTGATCAATGTAAAGCATTTTGTAGAAATGTGAATAATTTTGTAGACAGTCATTTAGTTCATATATATATAAAAGTAATGTTTGTTTTGTTTTGATTCGACTAGTAGATGTAAAAGAAAGCACTTGATTTTCTCTCTTTTCTAGTATCACCAAATGCTACTTGATCATATGATGACAGGATAGTCTTGTGGTTAATACCTGCCAGGCGCGAGGCACGACTGTGCCCCGATTTTAAGTCAAATTGAGTCTATATTCTCATAAAGAATTGCTTGCTTGTGCATATGTATTTGTGAAACACGGATGCTCTAACATGAGAAAGCTATACTTAGTTCTTTCATAAAAGATGCACATTTATAAATATCCATTGTCCTTTTAGAAAGGGGCAGATGGTAAAATTACACAGAGATCAAATTTTCAGCGACCACTGTCGCCTTCATCAGGATAATTACGTTTTGAAGTGGTAGGTCATTAATTATCCTGATGAAGGCGACAGTGGTCGCTGAAAATTTGATCTCTGTGTAACATTGCGTTGGAATAAAGTTCAACGTTTTACCATGATTATAGAACACAGATGAACTTTCATGATACACACTATAAAGATTGTAGTACCGAAAAACAAAGACACAGTGTTCTCTCCAGTCCACAACAGTTACACATCCTTTCTTGCGAACGGTAACGGCCCACGGGCACACCAACCCGTCCTCTTCCCCCGCTATAGTCTCCAGGAACCCTCCCCTCCTGTCGAACATCTGGACTCGGCTGTTGGCTACGATGATGTCTAGTACCGAAAAACAAAGACACAGTGTTCTCTCCAATCCACAACAGTCACACATCCTTTCTTAGGTACTGTGACGTCCCACGGGCACACCAACCTGGCTTTTAAGGTGCCCAATACAGTTTTTATTACTATCAACCAGATGAAAACCAGAAGTAAATAGTCTTGTCACTAATCTACATATTAAGTTTTTAGTACCGAAAAACAAAGACACAGTGTTCTCTCCAGTCCACAACAGTCACACATCCTTTCTTGGGTACTGTGACGTCCCACGGGCACACCAACCCGTCCTCCTCCCCAGCTATAATCTCCAGGAATCCTCCCCTTCTGTCGAACATCTGGACTCGACTGTTGCTCCAGTTGGGTACGATGATGTCTAGTACCGAAAAACAAAGACACAGTGTTCTCTCCAATCCACAACAGTCACACATCCTTTCTTGGGTACTGTGACGTCCCACGGGCACACCAATCCGTCCTCTTCCCCAGCTATAGTCTCCAGGAATCCTCCCCTTCTGTCGAACATCTGGACCCGGCTGTTGCTCCAGTTCGCCACGATGATGTTGCCGCTGCTGTCCACACAGAGACCGTGAGGCCCGGTGAGGGGCGCTCTGCCTGGTCCCGGCTGTAGACTCAGCTCACGCAACCGCCGGCCTCGCTCATCGTACTCCTGGGGACAGATATGCTTGTTTGTTATGTTTACCGAAGGAAAACATATTGCTTTTACTCAATTTCCTCTTCTCCAAACACTAACCTCTGACCTGGCCAATGACATGATTTGTTGACGTCTGTCACCATGGTGACTGGTGTTGGGTTACATAATGTTGCAAACTTCATGGTCTGCTCTGCTCCTGTCACCATATACTAGTAGTACATGTATGTGAATATGTTTGAGTAAAAATTACAAGGGCAGACCATGTCCGAAGGTAAACATTATGCATTTGCTTTGCAAATGTTACTTCTCTAGTTTAAACTTTGTATTAGTCAATAATCACACACACACACACACACGCTACACACATAGGCACACATAGGCGTAGACACTGCACGTATGAAGGGACACACGCAGTAACACACACTACGCATACACACGCACGCACGCACATACATACATACACATACTACACGTATGCAAGGACATATGCACACACACACACACACACTACACGCGCACGCACACACACACACGCACACCACACGTATTTAGAGGCACACATGCACACACACACACACACACACACACATAAGTCCCTATTTGGGAACTTTGACTGAAGCAGGCAGCTAGTGCTTTCTTTGTATTCAGAAAAATCTCTGGTGGAATAATTTTCTTTGAAGTTTGCAGTTTGATCTAGCCTGTATACCTTTATAAAGCTATTGTTGGTCGGTTCACAAAAGAAAATAGTATATCTTTTTCTCTTATCTTGATCCATTTTCGCCAACTTCAAAGCGCCGATTCAAAGTCAGGGACCGTGTGCGTGTGTATACCGGCTTATGATTCACCAGGGAAACTCCCAGTTCTTTTATGTGTGATAAAATGAACAGTGGGCCATACGGCTTGGCGGTCGTTGTTAAGTAATACCATAATGGTTCTTAATATTACCTGAAGATTTACTAACATCCGTTGCTACTATGTAAATATGGCACAAACCATCTGTGTTTAGAGGTCACACAGTAATCGTATAATGCATTGACTTTAGCGCATATACAATAGCGCTTTTCTTTTCTCTCCTTTGTATATTTACCACAGTTATCGTGAGTCAGCCTTGTGGCACGTGAAAAAACGACAGATAGGATTTGAACCCATGACCTTTTGATCCAGAATTCAAAGAACGTAAAGAATGAAGCAGACTACCTATCCTCTACCAGGCTTCGGTAGTCGGCTACAATTGGCCAAATAGAGATAACATGCCGAGGGAGTTGGTCCGCTAGAGAGTACATTTGCGACAAAATGTATTTTAGCGGACCAACTCCCCCGACATGCTATCTCTCTATTTGGCCAATTTCAACTCTTTCCAGCCGCCTCCCGAAGCCTGGTAGATCTGTATCTGTATAGCCGGAATAACCGCCTTTCGGCGTAACACACCCGCTTCGCAGGCACGCGGCGCGGCGGCAGCTGGCTATATTACATCGATCGACTTGTTACAAATAACCCTTGAACTTCTAAGTCTAGACATTGTTTAAAGCTATCTAATGACAATGCTCCTACTGTACTTGGTGACAGTGAGTTCCACTCTGCGATAGTTCTAGGAAAGAATGAATTCTCAATCCTTGGTTGAAGGTACTCTGGTACTTGAAGGCATGCCTATTTCTTGTTCTTGCAGGGCTGGTATTAGGTACTTAGTAGTTGGGACGTCCACCAGTTTATTAGTCATTTTGTACATCATGCATAGTCTGGATATTTTGATGCTACGGACTACTCACCTGCACAGTTTTGTGTAGAGACAGAAGGATGTTGTTGCTCCTGTTGTCCACACACACACGCTTGTAGGTCTGTACGGCCGTGTCGAACTCTGACAACGCGTCACCGCTGGTTGCTAGGATACAGACCTTCCCAGTCAAGGCTACCGCCATCCTGTAGCAATGACGTCATTGGCACCATCTTAGGTCAAACTACTACAATATTGTTGTTATTAGCCTAGCTAAGGACTAGCTTTTATACTCTGTTTCAATGTTCTTTTATGTATGTAAGGCCATGTTGATTTGGTTATATGGATGACATCCTCTGGGAACCCCAAAACTGATGCGCGCGTGCGAATAAAAAAAAAGTTTTGCAAAAAAAAGTTGCTTTCACTATGAGATCTACGTGGTCATGAAGGTTGAACAAATGGCACAGAATATGTTATGGCGAATAATCTACTCTTCGAATTCATTTCTTTACATTTTTG